CCTAGCCTCGATTACTAAAGTCGGTACGATAAAAAAACATACTGCGTTGAGCAGCAGATCGGATTCAAATTCAGTAAATATCGCAGGCTAGCGATTACATAGAGAGTTGATTATGGTCTGGATAAGTTAATTAATGTCTAATTAATAATTTAGATAACATTTCAGGCCTAAAGAAATAACTGCAATACTCAGATTTAGCTCTTGGATAAGGTATAAATAATTTATTACAAATTACATGAGTCCATTATATTGTCTTCGATTTTAATTGATGACATGATATTGGGACTGTTTCTTAACAAGATTTCAACATTTTTTTTATTTCTATATTACTATTAATTTATTGACTTAATTATAAAAATGGCAAAAAATAAATAAGTTGAGTTTTATCATTTTGAAACGTTAGGAAATTAATCATGTAATACAGAGACTGTATCTTAACAAGATTCCAAGACTTATTCTACCTGCAATATCTATATAGACATGTCACTACAAATAACAGGGTCATTTTTGGAGGGTCTTGCGATCTTGACTCTTCTGAGCATGTGTTGAAAATTTCAAGTGAATCCGTGGAGTAGTTTAGATTTTCGGGTTGGATTAGGTTCGGGTTAGGCTGTTGTGTTGGGTTTGATGTGGGTTCTTTGATTTTTGAGTGGAGTTTCTATGTTTTTAGTGCATTTGTGGAGGGTCTTGACTCTTCTGAGCAGGTGTTGAAAATTTTAAGAGAATCCGTCCAGTAGTTTAGATTTTCGGGTTGGATTAAGTTAGGGTTAGGCTGTTGTGTTGGGTTTGATGTGGGTTCTTTGATTTTTGAGCATCCATTGTATCAGATATTCAGAAGTGTGATTTTTGTGAAGTTTCAGAAAAATATTTTGCTAAATCATTGAGAGAGAGAGAGAGAAATGGGGTTTAACGTCCACTCGACACAAACTAGGTCATTTCGGGACTAACATATGGTTTAATTTTTTTTATTTCAATAATTTGCTTGCGCATAGGGGTCTTTAGCAGTGGGAGGAAACCGGAGGACCCGGAGAAAACCCACGAGGTTGAACAGGCGACCCTACTCCTTGTCACGTACAACCGGGGATTCGAAACCACGCCAGTCGACTCAATGATAGACTTTATGATACAGCGCACGCACGCTAACCATTCAGCCATCCCCCCCCCCCTAAATCATTGAGGGCAATTACCTTATATAATTAATCAATGGGCATTCTACCAGATTTTAATGCCATATGGAAAATCATCGGATTCTTCAGTTTAAAAGGTTTGAACAAGTTATTATAAGTGTTCAATGGTTTTGATTCCCCGGTTGTATGTTACAAAGAGTAGGGTCGCCCGTCCAACCTCGTGGGTTTTCCCTGGGTCCTCTGGTTTTCTCCCACTTCTAAAAACCCCTACGCACAAGCAAATTTTAAATAAAATTGAACCATATGTTAGTCCCGAGTGGACGTTAAACCCCATTTCTCTCTCTCTCTCTCTAAAAATTAATGTAAGCTTAAATTAAAGCAGCTAAACCTCTTAGATTTAGGTGAAAGAAAAAAGAATTTCAACTTGTAATTGCACCAATTCTCTCTCTCTCTCTCTAAGTGTTCAAGATGAGAATATGACAACTGAAATGTACAAATCTATAAATGATGTTCTACAGTAACCTGTTAGAGAAGAAAGTTCGATAAATCACCAGTACCAGGGACCAAAGATTATTATCGTCTGTTTCATTAAAACAAGTCATCAGTCATTAATGAGTTGCCTGTTACATAGAGAACCAAACTTTCAACCACCTTCATTACATTTATTGGATCCAATCTGAGCAATGTACCAAGTAAAGTTTTTCACCTCTAGCAATGTATTATCCAATTTACTTGATCTGAGGCTGAAATCTTACACAAATAAATAGCGGGGACTTTATTCCAAACCATTACCTTTGATTATACGTCTGTATTTATAGAAAGTTCCAGAATAGCCGTCAAACTTGTTTTATTCTAGTTACCAATAATTGATCTATACGGTTGGATTATTGGCATTTTTTAAAGCAATTGTGATACGCCTCTGTGATCTCAACTTTCTGATATATATCTCGAAATTTTTTTAATGATACCATCAGTTTGGGATATGAAATGAACACTAAAATAGCATTTGACATCAAAGAGAATAGATTGTTAGAATAATTTGTACAAGACATTGTTCTTGTTTTTATGGTAAAACTGACATATATGTACAATTACTGGCTTTCTGCTTGAAATGAGCTTTCAAGATGAATTAAAACCATGGCTGTTAATCAGGGCTTTGAAAATCATCTGCCAAGCATCGCTCTAGGCAACTTGATAAAGTGAAATTCAATTAAAAAGCAGATCTTACTAAGTAGTACAGTGATGGTATCACAGTTACAAGAGAATAGAACAAGTTTCATAAAGAGTCTAAAGCTATTTAAATAAAATCAATCACTGTTACAAGAGAATAGAACAAGTTTCATAAAGAGTCTAAAGCTATTTAAATAAATTCAATCAGAGTTACAAGTGAATAGAACAAGTTTCATAAAGAGTCTTATATACCGTTCAGATGCTTATTTTTAAACCAGTTCAAAATCGCCGGGGTTTTTAAGACAGGATTGTGTTGCGTTCACACGTACTATAAGCCAAACGAGTTTAAACTATTCTGACCTCTTCGGTCGAAGGTTAGAGTTAACTATACATGGGCAGCTTTATATTCTTTATTCGTTTCTTGCACGCTTTCAATAACACTGGCACTGCCTGACCCAGGAGTGTAACTTACTGCGTACTGCGAATGCTCACAGCGAACTGCGTTCAGACGGCCAAGATGAATCAGTTTAAAATAAAAAGCCTTCTCGAAGACAGGTCGCGAGCTGGGTTTTTTAAACTGGTTTATTTGCCTTATTTGTGTTCAGACGACAAAGTTAAACTGGTTTGACGATCCCCTGTGTATTTAAACCAGTTCAACTTAAGCATCTGAACGGGCTATAGTATAAAGCTATTTAAATAAAATCAATCACTGTTACAAGAGAATAGATCAAGTTTCATAAAGAGTCTAAAGCTATTTAAATAAAATCAATCACTTTGATATGTCTATTGTAAAACATACTAAAAGACATACAATGGTCTTTAATATCAAAGCTGTACTTAGTTTGAGACTAACATATCAGACTATTTTATCAGAATTTTAACTGTCTTAAGGGATTTTGTTATATTTAAAAATCTACAAAATCATCGATTTAAGCAAGAAATTACTAGCATTTTCACAATTTCATTTTGCAAGAATCCTCTCAATCCAAATATTATGATTCTGTGCAGAGATCAGATCTACCTAAATTGAAGCGGGATACGTGTAAAATTTGAACTCTACATATAACATTACATACATTATTCAACTTTGGTCCAATTTTAAGCACTCAATTGACATTTTATGTGTTGAATTGGTGATTATTACTCTTTTATTGTTAGGCTTGGTAGTATCGATCTGTCTGATTTTGACATCTCTAAGATCACAGCATCACCCCCCCTGTCACAATAAAACCAATCAATTACCACCAACTGATACTGTGTAGAGGAAAATCATCAAATTGATCTAAAGTCAAGTCAAAGTAATCTCCACACATAAAACCTTGGAAGAATTTTTTCCAAGGCATAACATTGCAATTACTAGCGAAATTAGAATTAAACTGATGACACATGCACAAAAAACAACCCCACCACACATACCGTTTTCTGAATAGCTTCAGCATGATTTGACATCAACAATTGTGAAACATGCACAAAAAACAACCCCACCGTTTTCTGAATAGCTTCAACATGATTTGCCATCAACAATTTAAAGTGAATTATTAAACAGTCAGCGGTGAGGTTGAAGTACTATATTTACTTATATTGTTATTCAACATATTATAATTATTGATTGTGTCAGTCCTTAATAAATCAATGTTGAATGTTTACTATCAAATAAATTTACATAATTTACATTTTCAAATCAGGTAACTGGTCATTATCACCAGTCAATGTCGGTTAATGTCCATGCATACCAGGAATTCCATATATTTAACTTAAATACACTTAGAGTACTTTAAAAGATAATTTGCCAGGCAACGAAACATACAAGATTTTTCAAAGTGATCAAGAGTTAATTAGTAATATGCAGAAAATGTTTAGAATAAGTATTCTTCTTTGTCTCGTAGTTATAAATATTGCGTATTTAAAGTTATCAAAAGCCAATCTGATTAAAATGTGAGGGGTTGGATGGCCGAATGGTTAGCACATGTGCACTGTATCATAAGGTCTGTCATTTTGTCAACTGGCGTGGTTTCAATTCCCCGGTTGTATGTGACAAGGAGTAAGGTCGCCTGTCCAACCTCACGGTTTTCCTCCAATTGAAATAAAATTGAACCATATGTTAGTCCCAAAATGACCTAGTTTACATTGAGTGGACATTAAACCCCAATTCTCTCTCTCTCTGATTAAAATGCAGATCTATATTCCGTTTCGTTTTTTTTTATCATTTCGATGGCCTCTACTACATGAAGATCTGAACTGTTATACGAGCAGCCAGACATTTGATTAACCATTAAACGTTGATGTTTCTAGTAGGATACCCACAGTTTCGTACATCGCAAGAACTCACTGCAACAGACGGTTTCCTTGTCTAATCGCTCACATCAACCAAAATGCCGGTAATATAACAACTCTTCCAGATCTTATTGTAGTAAAGACAAGTAAAACGAAATTTTGAACTATAAAAAACGAAACAAAATAGATTTGTGTTTTAATCAGATTGATCAAAGTTTTTATCACAAATTTGTGACAATCAATAGAGTAATTGTCAAATCGTAAATATCTGTATTAATATGATAGTCATCCTTGGTATCCCCCAGTGGTATTGTTCCGTTTTACTCCACTAACGTGAAGGTATAATAGTTTAACACATAGACAACTTATTTAAGAATTAGATGATTATTGTTTTTATTGAAGTCTTTCAAACCAAATAATTATACTTACGTAACTCTGCGTAATATATACGGCAGTTCCTCGTTATCTGTATGCATGGAGAATTTATCCATGAACTTAAGTTGTCTCTTTCTATCTTAATCAGTGTCCATATTGTAAACTGAAAGTAGAATTATCACATTTTTAAAATGATAAACAATATAATATTCACGTTATAATGTTTACACTAATTTTATTACACTATTTAATATTCTTGACTATCCCGTCTAACAATAAAAGCCACGCACCATTAATTCTAAGTCAGTATTGTACAATAACAAATAAAAGCTTCACTTTCCTGTCACCTAAACAAAATAGCCCAACTAAATAGCTATATTCAACATGTCTGTGTAGTAACATGCAAATAATTATCAGTTGTCAAAACTGTTTCTATTGGGAGTCAGACAGCGAAAGAGACAATTATTTTGCCTTACCACAAGTAAATTAGTTTTTAAGTGTTTTTGTTATCTTTGAATAATAAAACAATGAATAAGTTCATGAATTTATTGCATGTTTAACTATAAATCCTATATATTCCAAAAATGTCAAGGTTATTCAGACTTGAAAATTACAAAAGACATCATATTATCAGACTTTCATTACCATGATGTATAAACAACATATTTTTTAATCGAACACAACATATTATGTTTATTTTATAGAAAGGATTTTCACATGATATCAAAATTGTAAGCGTTTCTGTTCAATTTATTTCAAGTTAGGCTGCATATGTCTAATAGCCTTCATTCACACTTAGATATCAAAATAAATTTCCTCCAAGCACAAATTTCCTCCAGGCACCCAATTTAACATTTATATCATATTATGATATAAAATGTCAACGAAAATTTGGTAAATAATAGGCCTACCATTACATTACAATAATAAACATGATACTACAATCTACAATCTGTTCTATTATTACATATAGCATGATGATTAATCTGATCCTTTGTCACTTAATTAAAAACAAATATAATATCATATATTTGAACAGGGTGTAGTATGCACATGATTCATATCATGTAAGACAATACAGATATAATGAACCATATGCAATGCAAACAATGGCATCGATCAACGGAGAATGATAGAATGTGACCGCTCAATTTTCTTATATGGAGGAAACGGCACCCACTTTTTAAAAACTAAGTTCGCATTTTCTAGAAATGTAATACATTTTTGTGTAAGTGAAATACCTGTGCCGTCAAGAATAGGAGTAATTTGAAATCATTCTTAAACCATTCCATTCAAAATGTTATAATTTGAGACCATTCTTAAACCATTTTCATCCAAATGTAAACAAGACTTGAGTCTAGCGATTCTCTTTATTTGCCGATAGCGATATCCAGATAACTTGATACCATTTGAAAGGTGAGAATAGAACTAGATACAACAGATTGTAGCAGAATAAAATTTTGCAACCTGCAAAATCTCACGTTCCTGCTTGTACACTTTAGTGTTTTTTTATAGATTTTCTACAGGCGTTTATCACTCAGACAACAGGGTTTCAGTGAAATGAAATGGGGCATAACATACTACTTTTCTGCTCCAGCTGAGATAATGAAGATGAGCATTATGCCATGCAGTTTGCTATGTGGGAAAGTCTGACCGGGCAGTAGGATTTCTGCCTATGGAAGACCAAACAGCTCGTTATTCAGTGTTCTTAATTCTTAGTTCTTAATTCATAGTCCTTAAATATTATTTCTTCATTTGATGTCGTATTTCAACATTTGTACAGGTATCTTAAAATAAATATTTGTTTTGCAAATCAGACATTTGTCACATCAGATTTGTAAAATGTATTTTTGTTTAATTTAATTTTATTTTAATATAAAGACAAAATTAATTTTAGAAAGACAAAATTAATTTTAGAAAGACAAAATTAATTTTAGAAAGACAAAATTAATTTTAGAAAGACAAAATTACATTTACATTTCATCATAGACATACAACGAAAAACAAATCTCGAACAACAAATTTCTAAATACAAATCTCCAAATACAATTCTTACAAAACATTTCTTCAATAACATTTCTCCAAAAACGTTTCTGGAAATTCATCGAACTGGCACATTATGGCAACATAAGCAGAAATCAACCTGGCATACAATCAGTCACCATACAACAAAGGAGAATCGAGCAAACATATATACAATAAGAAATATCGCTCAATGACCGTGACTTTAGTGAAATCTGAAATCTGGTCTTCCATTTCTGCCTACTTTTCCTGTAATTTCAACTGTCATTTGATCCTTAATAATGTAATTGCTAACAATGCAGGCATTCACATAATTTGTTACTTTGTTTTAGTATTAAAATATATTTAATGTAGAGGCTTTCCTTTCAAATGAAAACAAATTTAACACAACTTCCCAACATATTTCTTATTTTGCTGTGGGAATGTTATCAATTATGCCCAAACAGAAAATGATTGTGATAATCACGACTACCACCAGGGAAATCCTAAGTAGATTATGCATGAATCTTTGAAATTTCGCCAGTCTAGTGACCTTTTCAATTTGCCCCGAGAGACAATAGCTCTGAATTTTGCCAGTCACATTACAATTGAGCATATTATTTTTGTCATTGGTTTGACAGAATATTAAAATATTATGTCACCTTTATTCCTTTGCAGTATACATTAATCACAAAATTTTTTGCCATCTGAATCATTTATCATCGTTTTTCACTATTTTTAAAATCAAAGCTGAATATTTCCAATTATATAATACAATGTCTTCATTAGCCCAGAAGGGGGTTGGGTGGCCGAATGGTTAACAGGTGCGCATTGCATCAAAAGGTCTGTCATTGAGTTAACTGGCGTGGTTTCAATTCCCCATTTGTATGTGACAAGAAGTAAGTACCCATCCAACCTCTTGGGTTTACTCCAGGTCCTCCGGTTTCCTCGCACTGCTAAAGACCCCTACACGCAAGCAAAATAATGAATTAGATTTGAACCGTGTGTTAGTCCCGAAATGACCTAGTTTGTGTCCAGTGGACATTAAACCCATTTCTCTTTCTCTCTCTCAGTAGCCCTGTCAATGCAGAACAGGTCATTAAATGCTATTTTATTTCATTTATTACATATCATAATACACTTGTAATGAACTGATATAAATGGTTACCATTTTGGAAAATAAGCTTTAAAAAGTCATGGTCAATATAAAATACCAAAAAAGATCAGAATATAAACTTAAGAAAAGTCAAGGTCATAAAACATCAGAATATGAAAACTAAAAGTTAAAACCATACCAGGTAAAAATTAATCCTTGTAAGACATATAGAAATAGATTTCACTAAAAATAAACACACTTATATGGATATACTACTTCTGAATTTTATTAACATGCTACGTTGCTTGATAACGATACCTGTATGTGTATTGAAACGTAGGATGTTAATAAAATTCAGAAGTAGTATATCCATATAAGTGTGTTTATTTTCAGGTAAAAATTAATTAAAATATAATACAACTGAACACAAAGACATTCAAATATTTTATTTACTAATAAGGTACTCGGAACTCTTGCCAAGCAATTCCATAAAATATCAGAATATAAACTGAAGAAAAATTAAGGCCAATAACACATACCAGACGGCATCAGAATATGAAAAATATAATGTTAAAACCATACCATATAACAATTAAAATATAGTAAAGCTGATCACAAAGACATTCAAATATTTTATTTACCAATACGGTACTCTGAACTCTGGCCGAGAAATTCCATAAAATATCAGAATATAAACTCAAGAAAAATTAAGGCCAATAACACATACCAGACAGCATCAGAATATGAAAAGTAAAAGTTAAAACCATGCCATATAACAATTAAAAAATAATACAACTGATCACAAATATTCTATTTACCACTACTCTCAACTCTTGCCTAGAAATTCCATAAAATTAACACAGAGAAAAATACAACAAACACAGTGACAGAATAGCCTGCGTCAATTGATTATTTTCATTTATAATTCATTACATAAAACAATCTCTTCTACTTCAATTAAGGCCAAAGATTCAGTTACTTTTACTGCTTTATTCTATTGATTAACAATTGTTAAATCTAAATATCAAAAATCCAAGCAGGATGTTATACTTGGCTTCCAAATTGAATTTAGAATATAAATTGGATGTAGAATCCAATACATCTAATGTCACTTTCCCAATTAACTGAATCAGCAGAAACCAGAAGATAATCAATTATTGGAATTAGGATGATTTTAATGAAATCCCAATGACCATTTTGTAATTTAGACTCCATATAATAGACTCTACAAAATTCTGGGGCGTACCTCAAAGAGACATTTATCCTTTAGTCAAATTCTTTGATTAATCCTGAAACCACAGAGGTGTCAATTTCATGACAAGGCCACACATCATCAATCATCCTGATATTATGACTTCAGCAATTATGTAAATTATAATGAAGAATTTGAATAATGTTAACCCCTTATGTTGTGCTGAACAATTGTTCCATTTCAACAAGTGTTTTAAAGACAAATTTGGTCTAAAATAGAGTGATAATCATAGTTCAACATTAGTTTCGGCCAGAATTTGTGACTGAGATCCTTTTTAATCTGGAAGCAAAATGACAAATTATCAGACTGTTGTCCTCCCCCAAAAAATAAATCAAATTTCTAAGTACAAATTACCAAAAATAACGACTGCTGCCTTGTAAATTAAATGAATTTTGTCTGACAATGGCTCATTTTTAACCATTCCACATTGGTTGGAAGTTATATAAAGGTAAAGAAGTGTTATTTTGGTGTACCAAGAATAAAGGTAGAAAGTTTGGTAAATGGTGATTTTTTAAAGACAAAATGTCTGCCAAGTGATCATGATCATTTGAGTCGGCTTACATTTTTCATGTTTTTATGACTACAACTGATCATTAGCTGAAATTAATTGAAATTTGATGCAATGAAATGAAATGGGGTAAATATTCTTACTGTTCTGCACGGACTGGGGTAATGAAGACGGGCATACGGCGTACAGTGTGCTATTTGGGAAATTTTTTGGCCCGGACAGTGGCACTACGACGGCGGCCTACTCTTATTTTGAATTCCAACTGTCAAGGGTTCTTTTACGTGCAAGCTAATATGTGCACAGGTCCTTGATTTTTAGTCTCATTTGGACGACTATGCATTGCCCCTTTCCAGGCCCTTCGTCCTACACCACTAAAAATCCTGATGAATTTTCCCAGCTGGGACCAAGGTTGGAACATGGGAACCCCCGGTTAGCGAGCTAACGTCTTACTAACTGAGCCACTATGGCTCTAAAATTTGAGAAGGTTGGATGGCCGAATGGTTAGCATGTGTGTGCTGTATCATAAGGCCTGTCAATGAGTCAACTGGCATGGTTTCAAATTCCCGGTTGTACGTGACAAGGAGTAGGGTCCAACCTCGTGGGTTTTCTCCAGGTCCTCCGGTTTCCTCCCACTGGTAAAGACCCCTATGCGCAAGTAAATTATTAAAATAAAATTAAAACATATGTTAGTCCCAAAATTACCTAGTTTGTGTCGAGTGGATGTTAAACTCCATTTCTCCCTCTCCCTCTCTCTAAAGTCATTGCACTGCCTTTTTTAAAACCTTCACATTCCCAAAGGAGTTAGATAATTCCGTCACTTAACAACTGTAGCAGATTTTCTCTAAATTGCAGGTGTGGTGTATTGACAGATAATTCTCTGGCTCGAGGAAAATAAAGAAAATGTTTGTTTGAGTTTTATTGAATATTGTTTTTTCTGTTACAAGCTTTCCTGTCTTCAACTCGTATAATTGATGTGTCGTGTGTATTCGTTAGGGAATAAATCTTTTACAGTGTGTCACATTATCGTCCAATTATTCCAGAAACACTTGTATTGAAAGGTGTTTGTCTTTTGTCTCCAGCTTATAACAGACTATTGAAAGGTCTTTCCCATGTCTCTTGTTACGCAATCCTGTAAAACATTGGCTTTGAATAGTTTCTAGAAGGTTTCAATTTCAATTTATCATTTCTTGTGTTATCTTGGTTAAAGAAATGTAAAATTCTGGGTCAGCATGGAAGATCAATAATATGAGGATATAGTAGTACTGGTTGGTAGAAGATTTAGACACTTGCTTCCATTCTGATTTTTATGTTGACATTGACAACACCAGTTTTCAACATTCAATATTGGCTGAAGATAATCAGATAAACACTTCAATCAACACAATAATCCTGTTTTATTTGAGAATATTCTCACATGATTTATTTAAGAGACTTACTATTAACCGTGTAAGATAAGTTAAGAGGATGCTTTATAAATTATTGTTATTCTTGTTATTACTACCAAGTGATTACACATGATGTTTTCTCTAACATTATTCCTAGTTAATAACTACAGACGATCGTCCATACAGAATATAATTACAGCTTTCTCCATGGCCACAAATACCCCCTCAAAATCAATGATATCTCCTTTTTACATTAGTCTCAAGACAATAAACATATAATTGTCAGATAGTACACATCAGTATTTGCATCTTTTGTTATTAAAGCCTGGATTCCAGATTCAGTCATCTGGATAGAATCTATATAAAAAAATTGTGAATCTGACAAATATAACCCTGATGTTTGTGTCGGTGATAGCATGATTTCTCCTGGGAATTACTGGCTTTCATTGCTTAGAACAAAATTGTGTTTCAAATCAATGCACAATCATTACCTTCAGCAAAAAAGTGGCAATTTCAAATATGGTTCACATTTCCAATATGTTGTTGCATATGTTGTCGAGATTTTCCAGCGTGGTTCCTCCTTGTCAGTGGTGCAGGACAGAGGGCCTGGCAAGGGACAATGTATAGTCATTCGGATGGGACGAAAAAAACAAAGTCCTGTGTACACATTGGCATTCATGTTAAAGCTCCCTTGACAGTTGGAATTCAATATAAGACTAGGCTGTAGCGTTGCTGTTTAGGGAGAATTTCCTTCATAGCACACTGTATGTTCTATCCTTCCGTACACAATTTCTTGTTACCACACCATAGACTACACTTCTTTTGTTAACTTTTTGTTAACACCTTGATTAAGAGAGAGAGAGAGAGAGAAATGGAGTTTAACTTCCACTCAACACAAACTAGGTTATTTCAGGACTAACATATGGTTTTAATTTTATTTCAATAATTCGCTTGCACATAGGGGTCTTTAGCAGCGGGAGGAAACCGGAGGACCCAGAAAAAAACCACGAGGTTGGACAGGTGACCCTACTTCTTGTCACGTACAACCGGGGATTCGAAACCATGCCAGTTGACTCAATGACAGGCCTTATGATACAGTGCGCACGTGCTAACCATTCGGCAATCCACCCCACACACACCTTGATTAAGAAACCTTGTTTACAGTTTCTAAACCATAATCATCAATGAATCATTATAAAATTTAGGTATATTATTCATCTTGGTAAATAAAATATTCCAATGATTTTCAACAATTTCAAACAACAACTTCCCATGTAATGCCCCAAAATTACGAGAACATGTTAAAAACTTCAAAGGGCCTACAACTATAATTAGACATTTACTCATGTACCCATGCAATGCAAGACGGAGATTTATCACCCAGACAGCGATGTTTCTGCTTACTCTTCTTTAAATTCCAACTTCCAAGGATCTTTTATGTGTATACAAATTTGTACATGTGATATTGGATTTTCATCCTATCCACAACCAGATACACTTTGCTTGTCAGGCCACAGGCTGCACCACCTCTGATAATTGAGAAACAGGCCCACACTCATCCTCGGTCATCTCCAATAGAAGGCTTGATCTTGTTTTAACTAAGTACATCTTATCATGGCCTTCACGTAATACCCTGCATATTTTGGCACTAAACTCTCACGCTTTCAAGCTAAAATGTCTACCTGTGATAATCGAGTTACAAAGTTCAAGGTTCGTTCAATGAGGTCGCTATGTCACAACCTCTGATTGGATGCTACTGTTTAGGTGTCTGTAGATAACGTAGCTATAAGTTCGAGAATTGTGAAGTAATCTAGCAACGTCCAGATGTTGTAAAATTCTCTGTCATTGCTTCAGGAATATGATCCTCGTTATCCCCAGTGATCTAATTCCGTTCCACTCGACTAACTGCTGGGTTCATCCATGTGGGAGACATGTATTCAAATTATCTGACATTGATGATTGTGCTATTTTTCTCCACCAATTTAGGACATCTTTTAGTGGGCATGTCAGTTCTTTTATATTAAAATTTCTCGCAAATTTAATCTTAATCGAGTGAACAAGTTGCCATATTGTTGTGAACATAAACAATGAAGCTAAGACTGGTTTGTAAATCAAGCTACAGTCAAGGGCAGATAATTTGAATACGTGAATACCCCATGGATGAACCCAGGGCATAGTGGAGTAGAATGGAATTAGACCACTGGGGATACTGAGTGTGGTTCATACTGGGATTTGAATTTGAAACATAAGAACTCCACAGCGTGTTATCCTATAATCACCACAGACTCTTGTAATTACTAGATGTGTGTCTTCAACTATCTTTTTCATCCTTCACCTCTATTTATTTCAAGTAATCGGGCTTGGGGCTTGTTTTTGTTTTATACATGTATTAATTTTCTGTTGTGTTTGTTCCGTCTACTATCAAATTGTCTTTAAATAAGATATCATATCCTAACACAAAACTTGATGAAAAAACAATTACCTAAATAGCATTTTAAAAATTGATGCTTTTCAACAACTTACTGTCTAGCCATACTGATATTAACCAACTGGTGTACAAACAATGTTTGGCTGAGAGCCAAGTTATTCAAAGGGACGGAAAAAGTTGTCTTACAAAACTATGTTCCATATGCACCTTTTACACCCAACAACAAACATTTATAGGAATTGGATAAGTTGGAATTTGCATATTTGGGGCTTGTTTTTGTTTTATACATGTATTAATTTTCTGTTGTGTTTGTTCCGTCTACTATCAAATTGTCTTTAAATAAGATATCATATCCTAACACAAAACTTGATGAAAAAACAATTACCTAAATAGAATTTTAAAAATTGATGCTTTTCAACAACTTACTGTCTAGCCATACTGATATTAACCAACTGGTGTACAAACAATGTTTGGCTGAGAGCCAAGTTATTCAAAGGGACGGAAAAAGTTGTCTTACAAAACTATGTTCCATATGCACCTTTTACACCCAACAACAAACATTTATAGGAATTGGATAAGTTGGAATTTGCATATTTTAAAGCATTAGATTGATATCCAGTTTACCATATTTCTTTATAAATATAAAGAATGTGGGGACCCTTCGGGACTAAATTTCATGAAATTGTATAGCCGTTCGTTGCAAAAGTTATTAAGTGTGAATCCATTTCGATTTAAAATGGTTCAAATATTATCCAACGTGACATATCGTTTATGTCTCAGTCGGGATCAGTCATGGAAAGCCCAATTATTTGTATCGTAACATTTCTACTTGCATATCAGCCTTCTAAATGATTTGATTGGCTTATTTCTTCACATAAAGCAATCAGAGGACAAAAGTAACAAATATTTACATAAGTGTTTTATCCATTCATTGACATTGGAATCATTGGATATACATTTATCTATACATTTCCTAATAGCTTATCTCTAGTCTGTAAATAAGCATAAGAATATCACCTGTCCAAATGAATGACATTAATAGAAGTGTGCCTGTCAATAACTTAAGCCAATCTGTCAAATGAAATATAGACTTTATGGCATGATAAATAATTAATAGGGTTAATGGTTAAATTAGCTAAATAAATTCTTTTTTTAAAGATACATTATTGGAAATTAGATAAAGAGCTGGTAGTTCTCACTGTAATAGTTAAAAACTAGATAATGTAAAGGGAACTTGATGAATATTTCAGTCAAATTGATCCCCCCTGAACCAAGTATTTAGCGATTGAATTTTGGGCCTAGTCTCGATCATCATTACTAAAGTCGGTAGAAAAAAAACATAGTCTCGATTATCCATTTTTTTAATTAATCAGAAGCAGCAGACCGGGTTCTAATCCGGTAAATATCACAGGCTAGCGATGCCATCGAGAGTTTATTATGGTCTGGATAAGTTAATTAATGTCTAATTAATAATTTAGATAACATTTTAGGCCTAAAGGAAGACCTGCAATAGGCAGATTTAGCTCTTGCATAATGTATGTTTAATGGAATGAAAAGTTCAATAAAAATTAATTCTTTGTATATTATTCATATATCAGTTTTCATTTTTTTTCTAGGTACAAGCTCTATCTCATATATTCAAATCAGAAGCAAATTTCTAATATCCACCTTCTCAAACAATTAAAGGAAGATCTTTTGATTTAATCACTCCTAAATTCCTGTGAATACTAATTCAGTGAAATAGCCAATTTCTTTTGAAGGTGGGAGGTTGGATGGCGCTGTGTACGCTGTACAGGGATCTTAATCGGCTGTTTTTTGTCGGCTTTAGCCGGATGGTAAAACTATGAAATGGCCACTAAGGTATCACAAATCAATCTACTTTCGGCCGATTTACAAAGAATTAATTATCAGGCCGATTGGTAAAACAATGAACCGGCCACTATCATAAATCAATCTACGGTCTACGCTGTATCATACGGTCTGTCATTGAGTCAACTAGCGTGGTTTTGATTCCCCGGTTATACGTGACAAGGAGTAGGGTCGCCTGTCCAACCTCGTGGGTTTTCTCCAGGTCCTCCAGTTTCCTCCCACTGCTATATTAAAGACCCCTTATGCGCAAGCGAATTATTGAAATAAAATGAACCATATATGTTAGTCCCGAAATAACCTCGTTTGTGTCGAGTGGACATTAAACCCCATAAACAGTATAGGCAAAATAGTGTTATCAGCAAATGTCAATGACCTAGTTTCTGTCAAGTGGACATTAAACCCCATCTATCTCTATCTCTCTCTCTCTCTTTCTCTCTCTCTTTTAAAGGTTATTTATTTGT